AGGACATATCATTGAAAATGAAAAGCATGATAGAATACACATTGATGTAAAAAGAAAACGGAAATGTACATTACAGTAGGTATGGCATAGACAAAAACTAGAAAGTACACAAAATATAATGCGAAATATGACATAAGTAGGCAGTAGAGCAGTTGATATGAATAAAACCCGGGAAAAGTGAAGCATAAGCACCAATGTTAATGTGGCATTTCCGAAATAGAGAATGTTCACCTGTGTACGTGAAGGCGAGATTCCATCATTTGTGGAAGGACGATTCTTTCTCGTAAGGACCATGCAGAGAGATAAAGTTTCAAGCCACCGGTTGTGTAGATAGAGGTATAAAATGCATCCGTGTATGTATATATACATCTGTGTGTATCTATTATATGTATTACATGTACTTTGCTGCACAACAAGTGCAGTGTAGTCTAGAGAAGTAGCCGACCCTTGACTGTAGATATCGTACAGTCACATATAAATGTAACTTTCTCTCTCGTACATTCTTAACTCCGAGCTATCTTATTACCAGCCAAGCTATGTATTGTTTTCGTTTGCGTGTTACCTGTGAATTCAATAAAATGTTTAACTTCCCCTACGGGGTTAATTTACCCCCATTTGGGTGGTCTCTGTACTATCAACCCGATATAACTTAATTATTGCAGGGGGATAAATTACGCAACTATACTACATCCAGCGGCCACACATAAAATTTAAGAATCTATCAAGTAAATTCCTTCAACATGAAAAAAGCCGTCAAAATTATGGGTAATGAACCATAAGGATATGTCTAAATGACTTACCACAACGCGACACGCATAGTGGTAACACTAGACTATATCAAACTCCTAACTCACATTTCCACGATAGAAGAAATGTATCAAATTCACTCACAAAAAGTCTGTTTGGAGTTCACGGGATATACCTTGTACTCTATCTTCACATATACACCATACGACTGTGTCCGGGTGCAGAAAGCTAATTAACGAGTCAGGTTTTCGGATTGAATCGTGTTGTATATATGGTCATCAGTAAAGCTGACGAGTACTAATTAATTAGGAATACCTAAGCTATGAATAACCAAGTCTGTACTGGCTATGTGTACCACAAAAGAGCGATACATAACACCTAAGTTGTATGAATATTACCTATCCTTTATCGTATACCCGATATACACATACATATATGGATGTCTATATCACACTGAGCAGATGACATTCGAGCCGTTTTGGTTTCTCTACTTACCTGTAATATTCTTTGATTTGGAAATGCCTGGTTCATTCAGGTATTAGCACTTATGCATTGTACAATTAATGTGAAAAGAGTGTGTTTACCAAGTCATGCTATTTATTGTTTCATATAAATATTGTGTTTATGTAATAGATGTGTTTACACAATAAATTGCCGAATTTGATTGATAGAACAACAAGGTGTCATTGCAATTTATATTAACTTACATTAATTATCTACATTAGATCCTACGTGGATTAAACCCCCTTCTTTGTTTCCAAAGATAATACGTACATTTCTATATAAGAGTTGGAACATTATGTTATATATTTGTATACGTTCTAAGCATACTAATTGCCGTATCTTACTAGGTGAGTACATGTATATATATCTGCTGTCCGGGAATATATCAAAGCAACGTGCACTGATAGATAATCATACAAGGGAATTTTCCATTTTTTATTTTAAATAATATTATTCTTTATTATGTCACGTTATACTGTTTGTTATTTGGCTATTCCTTTATATATTTTAAGTTCCTGTTATTTTGTTATCTTTTAATTCCTTTAAATATTGTTATATAGGTCCTGTTCTGTTTTCATTCCTTTATGACTTTTTGTATACTATTTTTGTTATTCTTTTTAAACATTTGTATATAGATCCTGTTATGGTTTCATTCCTCTCTACAGATGGCAACAGTCATATCTTTTTATAGTGGTTCTTATTTAAAAACTTCACTCGTCATAAATTTGAAATGAAGCTAATTATATTAAGGGTTTTATGTACCTCCCCTTCTGCTTCAACAGTAGATTTCTGCCGATTTGGCCCCTATCATCACCGATTTGTCCTAAAAGGACATAATAGCTGTATGGTGCAGTGTCATCAATTTTGCATCAATCTATTATCAAATTTTAAAGGTGCTGTTCCATATGTGTGACTTATGTTCATTTTTCGTTCATTTATATAGTTTCAGCTATTTCGAATCTATTCTTAAGACCAGACTATTGTGAATTCGATTTTGAAATCCATCAACTGAGGTACGCTGAACTTCACTGAACATACATGTACCACTAACGAAAGTTAGATCTCATTCACCCTTGTGTTCCGTAAATTTGTTATTCTTTAATACATTATACTTAATGAACAATTTAAACGAGAGTAATACTCAACAAAATTAAACCACGCTGGTGCAAAACAGAATACATGTAACGCAACTATTTTCACCCCTAACACGAAGTTTCACCAGGATGAGAAATTGTGCAAATAATGCTACGTTTAACACGATTTCTCACCCCTTGCACGATTTCTCACTCCTTGCACGATTTCTCACCCTTGTACGATTTCTCACCCCTTGCACGATTTCTCATCCCTTGCACAATTTTTCACCTGGTTTAAGAACACACACACCCTCCCCCGTACATATAGGAGTAGGCATATTGGCCATTGGCACGTAAATAGAATGAAGTCGATTTTCGGCGTTGTATCTAAGTATTAATGAGCTATGGCCACAAATACGATATTCTAACTGACTGACCTTGCCAGAGATGCACAATAATGCAGACAATATATCGGTGTGTATTTATGTATCTAAATCAAAGAAAATGTATCGATTATATCGCACCGAGATTAGGGATTAATGATATTGTAAGAGTATGCCATATGTGTCATTGTAAATATTCTATTATGTCTTATGATCAAGTCATGCTTCAAAAACCTGATTGAACAACATATTTTGCTATCATAATATCATTACATTTTTTTTATTCCATGAATATGATTTTAACAGTATTAGCAGCACTATTGCTAGAATGACTTGTCGGCTGAAATTCTATATGAATCATATCATTGAATCAAATATTGAAAAATTGAAAAATCAGCTCTGTCCTATATGAAAATTGACGGAAAAATATCGATTTAGTTTTGACATTATATTTATGAAGGGAAACATTGTGATTGTACTGACATGATTTTGGAAAGGAGAGTACATGTGGAAGTATAGTGCTGAAACTAAAGTAAAGACTTCCTATATATTGCATTTGTATACTTCAGCTTAGTAAATGTACATTTAGTGATAAATGTAGTATACATTTTTTAAATAACTATGAAGAGCTCAATGTAAGCTAATTTGTAAAAATGTAAAAAGGGTGCATTTGAAGGGCACCTGTATTGAAAACTAAATATGTAAGTTTATCTGATCTACTCGCTTACCTGAACTGGCTTAACGTAAAAATAATGTTCAAAGAAAACCGATGAGTCAGATTGATGCTTATTGCCTTGATCAATCCGAAGATTTATTTACTACCTGTTCTGATTACCTGTGGCACGTGATACTGGTTAGGACACGACACCTGAGTAAACCTACCTGTCCGTGAGGAGAGTCCCTGACCATGTTCACAATGTTTCCCTCAATACCTCCACACATTGCCGCGTCCTGACTCACGCCCTTGTGTAACAATCGTTTGATTACTATCTCCTCGCTAATCACAGGTATGTAACAATGTCAGGTAAAAAACAAAACGTGTCAGCTGGGCAGGTGTTTTATCAACATTCAGTAAACCACATAGGGGTCATTTAAGGAGAATATTTAAATTTCTGAAGTAAGACCTTAGTGAAATATACTACTGCTCATGGGATTTTCTTTTCCACGTTTCTCACACCGTTCAGCTTTCAAACGTTGCGTGAGTATTAAGAAACACCCTTTACAACTGCGAACAATTGGATATTGTTCTCTGTTACTTGGCATAAAAATGTTTTCAACAAATCTCACCGTTTCTAACAGTATAGCGTTAAACTGAATGCTAGTCTGTAGAACATGAATAAGAGGGATATTTTTACGCCCGAGCTGCCATACAATACAATCTGATCAGGGAGTGATGGACTCACTGTATCTGTTAACATGTGTCTGTCTGGTCTATAACTGAACCAACAAAGTCCTCCTTCACATCGGCCATGGTGGAAGTCGACAGTCGTGATATTAATACAAGTTGTAATGCTTATCCGACATCTAATGTGACAGTTACCCCTATTCAGACATGCATACTGCTATTGACTCGAACAATGAAATTACACATGACTAGATATGTGACCGATAGTTGTAATATATTAGTTTTGTAACGCTTCTTAAAGATAGAAGTTAAAAATATGATACGCAGGTTTATAGTTACAATTGAATCAAAATCAATAAAAAAATCATCTCACTGTTGTTATTTATTATTTTGTTTCGATAATTTTCAACATGAAGAGGACTCTATCAGTTGAATTTCAGGATAGCATATTTGATACACAAGTATATTGTTACAATAGTATCAAAATCAATAAAAAAATATCATCTCACTTTTGCTATTAATTATTTTGTTCCAATAATTTTCATAAGTAAGAATATTTTATCAGCTGAAATTTAGGATAGCATATGTAACATTTTTTTAACCCAAGAATAATATTCTGTACCATATTTATTGTCTTTGGTTTGATGTTATATCGCTCATGTTGGTATAATTTTTAATGTGATATTTGTCGGTAATTTTCCATTGGTCGTATACAGTTGGCGTTCCCCTTTTTTACATAGATTGACAAGATATACAATTTAACAACCTGCAGGTCACAATATAAACTGAAAATTAAACAAAATCAGTTGTATTCGACAGAAAAATAATATGATTTGCATCACATTTCTTTATAATTTGTTGAAAAACAAATATCAACACAACGTTCATTTGTAACATTCAATATTTATTATTTCAATCAATAATCAATATTTATTATTTCAATCAATAATCAATATCTACATTTTAAGAACTTACAATTCGAAATATCATATTGAAAAAAATCACAACAATAAATGATATATTACAACAATAACAACTTAACCAGGAACTAGAATTTTCATAATATAACTAAATGTTTGCAAATAAAATTAAAGTTCCAAGTTCATATGTATTAAATAGCACCTGATATAATCATCTGTACGAGTAAATGACCTGCCATTTGATGTTAATATCAGCTTTGGTATGTTATACTCCTTAATATGATGATTAAAATTCATGAAAAGGTATAACCAGAGGAGTTTAATGAAAAAAACATCATTAAATCATTTTTAAACCGGGATATTACTATTTCATAATTAATAAATAGACGAATCATCATTTTCTATGTTCTCCAAAGTCTAACTAACTTAAAATGCAAAACTGAAATTCCATAAAACAAATCGGTCAAATGATAGGCAAGATCCAATGCTTCGTGATGAAAGACAAATATAAACGATAAACAAAAGAGTCAATCACATTTGGTTCATAAAGCTGAGTCGCTGTGCCGTGACTTAGCAAAGTTCGTGTATGGGTGATATCTCAAGTATTGACTAGGGTATACATTGGCCATGGTTGGCGATGTCTGCATAGTCGTTTTGTACAGGTGGTTTCGTAAAAGTAGTGCTTGTTCTGCTGTTGGGCTTTGCGGAAGTGACATAATTCCACCGTACGGAGAAAATCCGGCGGGAAATATTGACTGAATAGCACCGGCACTTTGCAGTAATCCCATGGGATAGGCTGATTCTGCAAACAAAAGTAATAATGATTAGATAACATTTTTAAAGTTGAATAGCTATATTTGTGTATTTGTTTTTGTATTGCCATGAAGTTTTCTATTTTCAAAAATGTATCTGTTGCTCTTTTTAATATTATTCTAATACTGATTCTAGTAATATTTTTAAGATATTGCAATATAAAAAGAATATGTGATTAATATTATACGCATTTCAATTTTGCCGTTATCTTAACTCTTAAATCGTGTATTTTAATGAACAGTTATTAAGTTGGAAGATTTTATGAAGTTTAAACATACCTCTAGCTAACATTGCCTCCCTGTACTTATAACTCTCCTCCGCTCCTGGCATAGGTAATGGTGACCGCATGTAATTGTGACCCTGCATCAGGCTCTCCATGGTCTCTCTGTTAACATAAAATGCACGTGTTATACTAATTTGCTGTCAACTCTAATTAATTATCATTATTTAGTTATGTTAGATTTCAAATATTATTTTTCAACATTCTCTTTTATCATATATTTATAATTACTGTTAATTTGCATTAAACATATAAGTAAATATAACAAAAAATAATATGATATTTCAAATGATTGTTTTTGTTTACCTTTCAATATCTGTAAGTCGACTAGAATCTCTGAATCCTTTGGCAAATGGGTTACTGTCGATTTTCAGTTTGGTTATCTGTAAAAGAGAGAACAGTAATCTAATCAGATACACGCATTTCCCTCGCTTATAAGTATTTTAATGGGGAAAAATTGTTAATTGTAGTTAGCAATGTTTTGCTAATTAGGTACATATTATCAATTGGCGAAATTGATAAAAGAAAATATTTCAGTATACCTGCTTATTAAACAATAAAAGGTGTAAAAAATATGAGACATGTTAATTTATGTGTGTTTCGTGTATCAAAGTATTTGCCTGTTGATATATATGTACCAATTTGATATGTTTGCACTTATGGTAAGTTTATCATCTTTAACTAAATGTATTGTGCGTGTATCTATAGTGACGTTATGTTTAATCAGAGCTCTGTAAGGACCACACAGCGGTGGTAACCGAATCCACCGACATGGGTAGGATTCTGTGACTGCTCGACCCCGGCAGTGTTACTACGAGACACCGAGTCGTACACACATCACTGACCCCTGGACGGGTTGTGAGGCAGCCCCATCTCAGGGAAATAATGATAATGGTATAATAGGATACTTATTAAGATATCAAAAGACTACTTGAACGACTCTGTAAGCAGCGTGAAATTGCTTATATTGTAGTCGTCGAGATAGCGGGGTTACAGGGTTGTAATCGGACAGATATTTATGTCTTGCCAAACTTTGGTTGAAAACGTCATTAAAACTGTTCTTTTATCGCTATTTAATGTTGCATGCGTTTGTTGTCTTACTAAATCGGTCTTTGTTGATTTTCGTTAGGAAAGTAAACTGAAGCCGGATTTAAGGTGTATGTATGATTGTGTTTTAGTTAGATAATAATGTGACATTTGACCTATTGGATTCAGCACCCTCCCAAACACAAGTCTCCTATCTACTCACCAGCTGATTTTGGTAGGCAGTCACTCCAATGAACACAGTTTCCGAGTAGATGAACGTTCGGTACTCCTCTCCTTCTAGACTTGTGATTGTATTAGGTGTGTCGGCTTTCTTCTTAACTATGTGGATTCGTGGTTGGTACTTATGCATAGAGTTCAAAATCATCTGTTGAAACATAAAAAGACGCAATAAATTATTCTGCTTAAATACGATGATAAAATACCAAAGAAGTTTCATTTTAAGCATTTGTACCTTTCGAAAATGATTCTGTTTGTAAGATTATGACTGAATGAGCATTCTGAAAATTACCTGTCCATTTTTGTCGAGCATGTTGTTTGTCAATTTAATTTTTTCAAAAGACAGCGTCTGTTTCATGAGTTGTTGACCGGTGAAAGGACCATCGGGATGAACAGAGAATCGAGTAGGGAGGGGTGGGTCAGCTTTTCCAGCCACCAACCACGAGGAACGATGGTATGCGTATCTGTAACGTTTGTTGTCCAGAGGAACGATGTCCATCATGACAACATATTGAGCGTCTGATTCTAGTCCTGTAAACGACACCCTCAAGGTAGGAAACATACGCCTGCAAAACACAAAAAATATACATGTATAAGAATAAAGTTTTTTTGTATTTTGTTTTGTTTTTATGAACACTACACCTTGTTCGATATAGATTTGTATTCTTTCTAGATTCTATATAATCTACATAGTCATATATATATATATATATATATATATATATACGGGTTAATATCAAATCGGACAGATCAGATAAAAACGTATTAACGCCCTGCATCTTTTTATGGGACATTTTAACTTTTATGTGTGCTGTTTTGCACGTGTGATGGGTACACTAATGCTTTATTGCGATGATAGTTGGCCAACTGTTACGGTATTGTGACGAACGCACGTGTATCGGAAACACCCCACACTTATTACCGTGTGATGTAATTCCGCCCAACGTGTCGGTAATGGCCTTGATGAAGTATGATAGAGCCAGCATCATTACGCACTTTTTTCTCTCCCATCACATACTCATTGTGTGCGTCCCTGTACAGGTTTGACACCTAGGAGTGTTGCTCGTGACGAAGACAAGACAACACGCAGACAATACATCAGTATCTCTCATTACATTGTTTAATTCACATCTTCGACCTAATATTTTCTTTGCAATGTAACGTCGATTATTTAAGAAACTTGTAGACTAAACGCACTATCGTCACGCCTCTAAAGCTCTTAAGTTGAAATATGACCTAAAACAGGCAAAAGTCCCCCTAACCGTGTAGTGGATTTGTAGGAGGCGGAGGTGGGGACATATCATGTCTCGAGCTCGCGTGATCAGACTCCTTTCAATTCGAAATAATTTGTAAATTATGGGCTATCTAACCAGTAGTCATCATACCCAGCAGCAAGGATACAAAATTAACCTCGTTTAGGGTTGCAGTGTGTAGATATAAGGCCACATTACACGCTATGCTAACACAGTAAATGAGAAGTTAGCAGCACAAGTATTGGCCTTTGTTTAGTTTCCGGTATCTTATTCACCCTGCTGGCTACGTCTATGTCATTAAGGTCTCAACGCTGACATATCGTACCCGTATATTGAAGGTGAAAAAGTAACATTTAACAGGCCATGTAAAACTGTAACAGGTGCGTCCTAGCCGTACACAACGAACAAAAATACATGTCATTAACAGGGGCATGCCATGTACTTTTTAGCCTGTTTGTAACACTCTTATATGTATTATTAAAAGTACTGTAAGACCTTTATTTTTCTATTGTATTATTAGCAATACTGTAACACACCTATCTGGATTTGTACAGTTGCATTATCTGTTATCTCTACTGTGTGTAACACACGTATCTCTCTGTGATCTTTATACTATCCGATGTTACGTAACAAAAGTGTTATTTTAAATACTTCGGATTACAATGACTAAATGAACATACTTATTAAACAGTTATTTATTGAATCAACAGCGTGAATTCGAACTTCCTGTTTATCATGTTGAATAATGAGACCATTTGTATAGGACATTAATTAGTCCTAGCATGTTTTAAAGTCGTGGTCGTGTTATATTACATGTTAAGCACACATCATCATTCGTTTGTATTTCTTGCTAGGTTGTAATTAATTCCCGGATATTAGTTTTTTAACACAACAATAAATCTAACTTTCATTCGATGGAGAACATTGATGCGCGTTAGATACCATTGTTGGCTGACCCGTTTCCAGCGAGTTAACTAAGGTGCCGGGGGCTATTACAAACACCATTCTATTTAACACAAGGAAATCACTATTTAACTCAAATAAAATCAAAATGTTTCATTTCGAATTACGATTTGACAAATCTTGTTTTTAAAGTTCACACCTATAAAACTATTTCCACTTGACTTGAGCCAGGTAATGATAGGTCTGGGATTAAAGATCTTTACAGTCAGCCCTGGAGGAAGAGTGGTGCCTTTTATATAACACTAACTTAATAGACTTTACTTACTAAAGGAAGGCACTTTGTATGGACCATTGTCCACCAGGCGTGTTAGTGGAAGGCGCGGGGGAGACTACTTTTGGCGCTATTAATTGATTTACAGCTCCTATTTACAGGTAATTTACTTTTGGGATGAAGATCTACAGGTTAGTGATGAAGTTTATCAAATCAAAGACCATCTATGGCGTCTAGATGACGAGCGTAAAATTGTATACTAACGACTATGCTGTGTGAGACTTGGACCAGGTATACTACCTAAATCCTCTTTTAAGGATTTCTCACGGTGGCCTAGACTATAGATCAGAGTTCCAACTAGCGTTAATTTGATCAATTTCAATCATCAAAGAAAGTAACGCGATTTCAGATAAATGAAAATTAACCTTTTAACATCGATACTTTGTTTAAATTATATCAAAGCCAAGGCTAATCACAAGTAATATAAACGGAACCGTTAAAACGTGAGACACATCCAGTCTCTCAGGTTCAGTACGTTTAACAATATATATTATAAATAATGGTTTCTACAATACTTGCAGAAAATGGTTTAGGTTTTTGTGTAAGCAGTAGGTTACTTTTCAAAACCGATTTTTTTTTCTCCATTAAATGTCAAATATATTTGGAATAAATTTTGAACATAATACTATTTTTACTCGTTCATTGAAAAGCCAAATTTACAATATAAATAATTGTCATTAAATTGAATAGTTTTCTTTTCTTTTAGTTACGGTTCAGAATGATTACTAATAATTAAATAATTTAGTAAGATAATAAGCAATAAAGTTTTCCCTTTTCCCTAGAAACTGAGGACTTTTGAGAACAGATATTAACATATATGACGTGTTGAATTAATCACCTATTCATGTAACAAAAGGAAGTAAAAAAAGATAATAATCACCTTCCAGTTTTTGTGATGATCATTTCTGTACCAAGTTCGTGAAATTTCTCCCACAATTCTTTGGTTTCCAGTTTACACTTGGTGTTCGGTAGATCTCCTGTGTAAGGCACATCTTCGGGTACCTTAGGGGACAGACCACAGGCACCGCACGAGCGACTTCCCTCATCTTCCCCTGGGGAACACACCTCACCTGTTTAGGGAGAAATAGTACATTTGTAATGATAAAGTTCTTAAGCTTAGAAATGATATTTTTTCGTAAATAGAACAAGTTAAATTAATAAACAAAAAAACCGAAAAAAAACCCATAAATAAACTAAAATTCAAATGGGTGTTTGGATATACAGTTTAGTTTAAATAAACTAGTTTAGTTTAACTAAATGAAAAGAATGATGAAAAAATATAACAAGTAGCAATTTCAAGTGACAGGAAAAAATATTGATATTGAAAATAGATGAGCCGAGAAGAATTATTTTAATATCTAACTTCTGCGAGGAAAACATTTCACTCTGTGTTTGGATATTTTTATTCGTGTAGGCAATGAATAAAACAGAACAATGAAATAGGTATAAAATAAGTTTTAATGATCTTAATTCATAACGAAACAAAACAAGAACACAATTTATTTAAATTACTATTTAGGTTAAAGATGCATACACCATATATATATTTTACTGTGTATGACATGCACTAAATGCTAGCTAAAAACATATAAAGAAAAATATTTTAGCTGACGAGACAATATCATTGAACAATATTTTCCTATAAACTGAAAATAATAAATTAATCTAAAACAGTGTGATCAATAGTGGATGGAAATTAACTGATGTTAGAAGAAAAAAAGAGTTTAAAAGCATAAGCTATATTACGTGGAAAAAACATGAAATATTGCAACATATATAGTTTACAAAATATACAGCGAATATATTTAATGTGGAGTATCTAGTTCGGATCGTATACGAAGCATCGCAATCCAATTAAAACTAACTATAATATGAATAGTTTAATCAAAACACTAGAAAAATATTACAATGTAACTTCGTACGCCATTATAAAAAAAGTATCAAGAAATTGAATTACGTATTGTTTTGTTTAGATAGATAAAATCTATATATCAGAAATAATATAAACGAAATCCTATTTACCATTATATAATAACAACATGAACTACAACAACTGCATATTTGATATTAAATCTAGCAGTTGCGAGTAAAACGTTTAAGAAGAAACCTTCACATATCGTTTGTTATGTTCCATGATACCTATCAATTTCGTGTCGACAAACCTTACCATATTTATTGTAGTGTCTTATATCGGTATATTTAGATACGATACATTGTGCTTTTATAGCATAAAGGTAACATAAACGTCTTCCATGTTTTAAATATTCCGTTAACACATATAACATGAAGTAAACGATAATGAATACATTCTATGTTGTAAAAATCTACATAACATTGACAAGGAACAAAATCTTACCTGGAGGAGTGTCGGCTTGAGGAGGTGTAGCGAGAACCCTCGGGGGAGAGGGGGACTCGGATGGTCTCTTGGTAGTCTCTCCTAATATAGAAGCAATAGAGAAGGCATTAGCTTTGGGAGATAGATGTTGCTTAGCCTGTAGAAGAAGTTTCACGGCCTCTGGAGACTCTGGTCGTGATTCCATAATATCTGTTGTATGGGTATCCAATTCCATCACAAATATATTATAGAATACTTAGTTCCTGTACGATATTACATCAACGGTGAAGATTTCAATGTAACAAATAGGAAGCTCTTGCCAATGTATATACACTGTTATTCCGTATGTTTCAGCAGTGGCAATGTCAACAATTTGTGTCAAAACACCGCTATCATCGCCAATTTATCTTCAGTACACATTACCTAAACCCGAACGATGTAAAACGCGCTCCCATTGGCTAAGATTCTACTTCACTGGGAGCTCGCGGCGTTAAGACCGCCCTCGTAGGCGGAGCTATCACTTTGCAGACACGTGTGTACCGGAGTCTAATTTAATTGGACGCAGAGATCCGAATACCCTAACTGAACACAAAATAGCAGGTTTCTAATCATACAAGGAAGGCCCTGTCAAAATATTCATCTTAGGTGGTCAAAGCACATGCGGATTGGTTTTAAATATAGTTCTTTTAGCTGCTTATCCAGCCGATCAATACTGTGTCCATGTTTCCAATTTGAGCTAATCCGTTAAGCACAATTAACTGAATTAAGTCCAATAAAATTTGTTGTTTTAAATCATTAACTGTTTGTCTTATTTCATTTGATATACAAATATACAGTTATATATATATATATATGTGTGTGTGTGTGTTTATATATTTCTTTTTGTTTTGATGCATTCGCCTTTCTATAAGGTACTTCAATCTTTAGACTTAATACTTTAGTAGATAACATTTATAATAATTTACATGAATTTTCTAAATGTATTTCGCTCTTATTTAATATCAAACAAAAAATTGTTATACGTAATAATGTAATTAAATAATGATTAAAATATTTCTGGCTGACATGAGAGAAACAAAATGATGTATTATAGTTATGCATATACATATTAAAGATATATGTGTTATAAAGAATCTGTCAGCCAAGAGATTAAAGCAGAAATTGGAAATTGATATTCATTTGTTATATAGTACCACTGGTGAAAAACATCTAGACAAAAAAGCCATTCGGAGCAGTAAATACATGACTTTGTTGAGTTCTGCATCCTCAACATGTTTAAAGGGATGCGTTGAGTTAATAAAGCTTATAGATAAAAAAAATATTATTGTCTCACCTAATAAATATTTATTTTATTTTAATAATTGAATCTATATAAATATTTACTGGATATAGTACAAATATGACACTTCGAGATGAGCTTAATCCAGATCGGGTAATAGATAGTGGCTGACAAGCGGGTCTGACAACGACGTTATCGGACCAAGCTCTTGTTTCGCCTCAGGTGAACATGATCATGATATGTCAATTATAGCATTAACCCGCACAACGATTTCTATGCGGAAAGTGAAAGTAGTCATTGAAAGGGTGATGAAGCGAAGCGTCCTACTTTACAATATGTATCACCATTTTAATGTCGATGAAAGGATTAATAAAAATAAACTTATATAATGACTTTAAAACTATCATAAAATCTTCACTTTATTGTTATGTATCTTTGTTATAAATGTGAACGAGGCAGTTACATAAACCATTTTCTATTTTGCATATATCTTGTAAATACTTACACTGATCAGTGCATGATTGAATTGGTTTTTTATTTTGATAATTATGGCATGTGTATATTTTAGACTGTTTGGGATTAGCCTTGAAGTATTTTATTGCTAAAAGCTTTATGATAAAAACATAAAATATACTCCATCTGCATTATTTTTGAATGTATACATGTTATCAGTATTTAATGTTATCGGTATTATATGTAATCAGTGGTTTTGTGTAACCTTAATATATAATTTATGTTTACTTCCGTTCTGATTACATACTAACACATTGCTTCCTACCTGATCACATTCAATCTGCTATGAAAACATCTAACATTCACCATCATATCCTGATTTCTAAAAATAGAAAGAAAATAAGTTTCTTAAACATCGTACTGATTGCAAGGAAAATACGAAAAGGATGAAACTGTGGTCATGGTCGATATTGTTTTAGTTGACAACATTTTTGCTTAATTTGGTGGAACACTTTTTCAACACACTGTCGGTATTAAAATAGGAGACTTACTACACCACTTCTAGTCAGTATGTATTTTGAATTCTCAAGATTAGATTTGTATAAGGCTGTTAAAAAAGGAGATGAAGATACTTCCCGGTTATCATATTTAACATTAATATACACGTATCATGTTTTGTCCTTGAATAACGGGAATTTAGATAACTACTTGCATTTCATTTATTCTCCAAAACGTGAAGCTAAAAATACCAGCATCCCTGTATTCTGCTTTATATATTGGCATTTACTTACAGTTATAACAATAATGGCCTCCTGGCTACAAAACTCTAGTATAACCGTGACCACTTTTATATCCCAATGATTACCTTTTCTTTTCTCAATTGTAATAACCCAGCCACCTTGTTTCTGGTTGTCACAGTTGGTTCGTTATTCAACAGTCTGTTCTCAGTATCATGACTTTCTTTCTTTTTTTTAATTTGCGTCCTGTTGACCTGTAGTATACCTAACCAAACCTCGGATCACAAGCGCTCCCCAACTTCAGAAAATTCTATATAGGTTAGGTTTTGTGTTTATGTGAAATCATTATTGAAAGTAATGAAAATCTCACGTTAAGGACTTTAACACCACCAACAGTTTCCTGTGGAGTGTTTAAAGTTCAAGATGTCTTTAAATCAATGAAAGTTAATGAAATGTGGAAAAAGAAAAATCAATTAATAGATTTACGTCATCATCTTGGCCTGAATTTTCGTCTATAATCTCTATGTCTACCATGCTAAAAACTAGCTCAGGATGACTTAAATATTTGATGGCCTACAAAGTTTCATGGCTGGTGTACCATGTGATTAAGGAATCGACGAGTTTCCTTTTTAGTTTTTTTGTGAGGGTCGATGCTGTATTTTTTACTTTGTTTCGATGTTTCCATTGTTCCCGTTGTCCTTTTTCATAGACTTTGGAATTTACGTTCCGACAAAGTATTTCAGAATCTTCCGTAAATAAAGAAATGTTTAAGGGATTTGAATGAAAATCTCGTGAATAATACAACATGTTGTACAAAAAAGTAATCTTTCGAATACTTGGTTTCGCCGCCAGTGATTGACGAAGTTTATATTCAGCGTCCTTTTGATCTGGCGACGTTTTAAACTCCCGTTATTATATCGATCTTTCAGTCCCGATTCTATCCTAGCGTGTTGACACTTTGATTTTCTTTCCATTTTATTTTAGTTTAAAAATGTCATTTATAAAAATATTGTTGTGTATTGTCTAATTACTTTGTGTTGACACATGTAAACAAGTTCTTATCAGATAGTTGTATATTGCTACGTAATTCTTTATTTATCCGGTTCTTAATTGAATTTCTCTAGCAATGTTTTATTTATTTGTAATCAATTAGAAAGGATATAGTTTACCATCATGGTTTGGATATCTGGTTCCAACTACAACACTATGTTCGTAAAACTTGTGTCCGATTCGTTTGTGAAATATTTTTGCAATAAAAATATGTTTTAATATGTTTAAATCACAACATATACCTAAAAAGACACAGCTTCCGTTTTTTTTTAATGTAAAACATTGTGACGTCAGTGCGTCGTGTTGTAAACATTTTATTCGTTAATCCGTGTTCATGTACGATGACTCTATTCTGATATCAAGAACTAAAATATGCTGATGTTCATGTTAATAACCTATATAGAAATCACATAGTTGATATTACATTAATGAATGACTTTCATATTTCATTATTGTTTTATCTTGTTCTGTGTTTAGCGACCTCGCAACAGCTAACGTCATATTAAAACGGTTGTCGAAGGAGATATCGGCTAAAAATTAGTAAAAGAGAAAAGAAAAGGTAGAGGTATCAAGAGTCAGAAAAGGCGCAGCATATCAAAATCAATACCTTAAGTAGACGGCACTGAAGAACAATCTCGATATTACAGGGGTCCCATATCAGTCGCCTTATTCATACATGCAATTATACAGCAGATTTATTTTTTACTCTAACCTGCTCGGGGTCAGTTCAATATCATGAAGGACAACTTTAAAAGATGAACATTTTGGTAGAAAAATAACATAAGAGAGTAAAACATGAAAACAAATCATGACAAATTTCAACAGGAAAAAAGTGCAGCACACACAAGAAACAAGAAAACAAGAAACGTCATTACAATGTGTGATTTATAGACATATCTATCTACAACAAATGCAAATTACAAATTTATGAAAAATAAACAGACGTTCTACAGGTCAAAATGGGGGAAAAATGAAATTAAAACCCTTTATAAAGTTTCAAAATGTGAGCTTTTGGCAACAATTCATAAACCAGCATCTCATGTAAATAGTGTCAGACCAGATTCCACATACAAGTTTACGGTCAATCTTGAGAACTGATAAAATACCACCAGTCAACCACATTTAACTGCAACCAGTGTATGACAACTAAATACAAACTAGTTTCAACTATCACAAATTGCAAATAATTTAGCACAATATACGTGCAACAAATGATCATTTTTTATTTACATAAATCTGATCGTTTTTCCTCAGCTGATCAAAAAATAAATTTTAAAAGATGTAATATCTTTGATACCTAAAACACAAATGATGATGGCTTTGGTGAAATTTCAGGTGAAATTGCTTCACCTTATCATAAAATAGCCAACTTTGATTGAAAATACAGTCATGAATACATTTTGTAAGCAAAAACAAAACAATAACAAACAAACAATAACAAACAAACAAAAACAGGACATATATCTCATTGTAATGCTATCAAAATACGTGTTTGGGAACGGTATGGTTTTGACACGCTCAGGTGAGAGGTAGTAGTTTTTCCAGCTCGATCAGTAACATATAGTGGCTGACAAGCGGGTCTGACAATGACGTTATCGGACCAAGCTCTTGTTTCGCCCGAGGTGAACATGATCATGATATGTCAATTATCGGAGTAGTGCAGACAATGCTTTCTACGCGGAAAGTGAAAATAGTAATCGGGAAGGCGACAAAGTATTCAGTGCACATTGCTCGTTGTCTACGTTACACTATAGGAAACGTGAGGATTTATGACCCAATCTGAGAGGTGTTATCAAGAGAGTGAAACACGAGCGGTATTGTCTAGATGCCGTTAAACTAACACATCATTACATTTAGTAGACTATACGAAATA